CAAGCTTGGGTTCGGTTCCTTGCGAACCCAGGCGCTGGGTTCATAAGGAACACAAGCGTGCTGGGTTCGCAAGGAACCCAAGTGTGCTGGGTTCGCATCTGGGTTCCTACAAACCCAGCACACTTGGGTTCCTTGCGAACCCAGGTGCAAAAAATTAAATTTTTTTTTGTTTTTTGGATTTTGTTGTTTGATTGTAATGAAAAATTGATTGATGAAGATGAAGAAGGCAAGGCAAGGCAGTTGCTGGGTTACTGTATGTGCTGGGTTCGACGCTAGGTTCGATTTTTCAATTTTGAACCTACCAGCCGCTAGGTTTTTGCAGGTGTTGGGTTCAAAATCGAACCCAGCAGGTAGTGGGTTTCATTTCAAACCCAACAACTGCTGGGTCAGTGGAACCCAGCGGTTGCTAGGTTTGAGCAGCCACTGGGTTCCTGCAAGTGAGGCTCTGCGTTTTGTTTTGAACCCAGCAGCCGTTGGGTCAAGTATCTATTGAGTTTAATTTGTTGATTTGTTGTGTTATCCTCGAATTTAATATTAAGAGTTAAGGTTTACAGAAGGTTAAAGGAAAGGGAGAGAAAGAAGAAAGGGAAAAAGGAAAAACAAATGAAGAAAAAAAAAGGAATAAGAAAATTTTTAAGATTTTTTTCTTGCTATCTCATTTTTTTGTCACGCTATACATCCTAGGTGTCAAAATGCTTGTACATGTCATTGTTTTCCCGTCAAGTAACGGGACACGTAGGTTGATATTTGATGGAAGGACCAAATTGGGATAAAAATGGTAAATAGTAGGGACCAAATCAAGAATTTTTTTAGTTTAGGGACCAAATTGGGAGTCCGTACAATAATTCAGGGACCAAAAAGGGTTTCAACCTTCATATTACCATACTTTTGAGCTCTATTTGGATGTTGAGATTCATCTATTGTGTGTCTTTGACTATATATTATTCAACGGAGGAGATAATGTAAAGATAAAAGAATTGATTCAAAGATAAATTTCATTGATAGAAATTTCATTCCAAGCAACACAAAGCAACACAAAGATCATCATGAAAATAGGAAAGTTCAATTGTTTTATTAATTCATTATTATTATTATTTGGATCGGCAACTTCAATTGCGCTTTATTTGTCCAACCATAACTCTCAGATGGAGCTAGACCAAATCATTCAGAACTTTCCGGGGGAGGGATGCCATAGCTTGGCCTGGGAGCAGAGGAAGAGGGACCAGCGCCCTGATTTCCAATATTGGCACCGTAAGGATTGTTCATCATTTGAAGCGCAGGATTCATCATCCCCGGTGCCGGAGGAATTCCATAGCTAGGGCCTGGAACAAAGGTAGAGGGACCAGCACCCTGAACAGCCCGTCCAATAGTAGTTTCATATGGATTACTCAACATTTGATGATGAGTAGGATTCATCAACGTCGGGTTAGGAACGCCATAACTAGACCCTGGAACAAAGGAAGAGGTGCCGGCACCCAGAATCATATCATCTCCAATATTGGTTCCATAATATGGGTCATTCATCATTTGATAAGATGGATTCATCATGGCAGGGGCCAACCCAGGAGTAGGCATCATCATCAACGGATGAGGAGCATCAGCTGCAGCAGCGGCAGAAGCAGCCAACTTCTCTCTCAGCTTGCTGATTGAATGGTTGCGTAACTCATTCAGCTTGCCTACCATCTGCCGTAGCTCCTCAAGATTCAGCTGTTCTGTCGGCCTTTCCCACCAGCCTCTTCCTTTCAACCCAAAGTTTCGCTGGTCCAACACTTGTCCCTTCTCAATCACTTCCTCCAAATGTATCACTAGGTCATTATACTGCTTGTTTAACTCATCAATCTTCATTTTCCTGTTTGCCTCCACAAACAGATTTGAATTATCATCGTGGGGTTGGTTTTGAGGGGCCAGGAACCGATTCAAAACCAAATCCACAGAGGGATGTCCGAAGGAGAATGCCTTACCTATTTTTTATCAACGAAAGAAAATTAAGCTTAATTCGTACATAAAAAACATGGATATGGGGTACATATATAATTATGTAACTATACCTGAGGGAGAAAATACTACGAAACAGATTTCAGTACCACAAAGGGTAACCAGCTCACTGGACTTCTTGATGATACCAGATCTACGTTTCGAGAAGGTAATCAGCCTGTCCTCCTCATTCTCAATCTTCCTGATCTCGATCTTTTGCTTTCCCTTGGTTTTCTTGCCTGCAGATGCCATTTCTACAGAGATGCTAAAGAAACAAAGACTTAGAAAAAGATAAAGCAAAAGTGATGAAGCCAGAGCAGAAGGAATGCTATTGAAGCCAAGAGACTCAGATGGTTTTCACCTTGGAATTTAGGCTGTATTTATAGGTGGAGAAATGCTGAAGACATTAATTTGAATGCAATGAAAAAATCTAGTACAGATGTATTTTATCTGTAGTTGCTAAGAAGAGCAAATTATATTTAGTGCCATTTTAAATTTTTGTGTTGTAATAGTGTTAAATTATAATTTAATTATCAATTTTTCTTTCTTATATCCAAAAGGTGCATTGTATTGAGTTTTAGGTTGTGAGAAAAAATGATATATTTTTATGATTTGCACGTTTAGTTATTTATAATTCGCTCTTTAATAAATAGAAAGATGGTTTTGTTCTCGTTAATATAAAAATATGATTTAGGCGGGAATAGATTTGATTTATTGTTTATGTGTTGTGCGCGCCTATTAACGGCTAGTTGTGTATTCAAAAATGTAAAAAATCAATAAAATTAGAAAAGATATATGTTTTGGAAAAAAAGAAAAGATTCACAAAACTATATTTAAAAGTATCTAAAGAGGGCAATCTATGATAACATATGAAATCAAAAATAAAGTAATAGAATTTTTTTAAAAATAATAAATTAATAGACTTATATGTATCAATTAATATTTTTTAAGTATAAAACAAATAAATAATAATGTTGACATTTTTCTATCAAAAAAAAAAAAAGTTCATATTTACATACAAGAGAAATAGGACCTGACACTCCGGAATGTCCTAAACCCAGTGGTTAAGAGTGTTATACTCAAAGAAATGCTAGAACGTTTGATTTCCTTTCAAAATAAATTGAATTTAACAAGTTTATGTTAACATAAAAAATAGATTATATCTATGATAATCTTTATCCAAGTTTTAAAAAAGTGTAAAGTAAGGTCACAAACTATACCTCAATTCACAGTTAAGGACAATAACTTCTGTTATTCTCTAATAAAAGACATAATCTTCTATATATGGCATCACAAGCAACCCTCTCTAGATAGACTTTGAATACTGCTTTTACGAACCTACTTTGTTTGCACTTTGCAGATAATAAATGCCTTCTAGTTACCAAAAAAATATATATACCCTTAAATGAGTGACCTAATTCATAAAAGTTTAAGAGTTCAACTTAAAATTTTGAATTTAATTCTTGAATCAAGTAAGAAGGGTTTTATTAGAAAAAAAAAAGAAAAAAAAAGGGTTATCCCTTATTTAGTTTGTCATTGAATGTACAATATATATATATATATATATATATCTTATCATTCTTTTTTCTTTCCCCTCTCGTTCTATCTACCACAGTTTCTAGTCTTTTAAGTACCCAATATTAATTAGCCATTCGGTGTAGTTGTGGGGCAGCACAGTGCAACAAACCTTAAGTTGTGTTTTGGATTACTGTGCAGTTCTGTATTATAACTTTTCTAGTATTTTAGCCATTCGGTGTATTTGTTTCAGAATAATGGATTGGTTTTTTTTTTTTTTAAAAGGAGACATTTTTTTTTACTTTAATTATCTATCCTATTATAAAAAAAATTCTTTATACTTATTTCTTTTTTACAAGTAATATGTAGAAATATAAATGATCTCTAAAT